ATCAAGTCTTTCCTACTATGGTTGTTACAATAAATTCTTACTTTACAGGATGAATCACAAGATTACTATAAGAGGCAACAGCTTCGAGAATTAGCTGTGTTGAACTCAGGTTTAAGAGATGACAGTCCTCATCCAACCGGCAGTGTTTCTCCGTTCAATAATGGAATGAAACGAGCCAAAACAGCACGATAGGGTCAATTTTTCCTCTCCGACACTTTCAACTCACTCTCGTCTTCCAATCAATTCCTTGTAAACTTGGCTTCTACAAAGGAGTTGGAATATGCAGCCAGTTTATGATGATCTACTCAAAATCTTATGATAGAAAGAAGGTTTTGCAGTCTCTGAGGTAGCAACTGTTGCTGAAATCTATGTTCAATGATGCTAAGCTACATTTTTTGTAAACCTAGAACATTCATTTTATTTACTTTCTCGGGTTTGTACTGATTTGCTAGTAGTGTCATGGATGAGCAAATGAACAATGTATGAGGATAAATGTCTTTGTTGTTTAACTGACTTTGGTCATGTTATAATTATTATGTGGCAGTATTAGTATTTTAGTGTTCATTAATTGCATATTTTGGATGTGTTTGACTTACTAAATTTTAGTTCATTGGTCCTTTTCCTAAATTTTAGGTACGAATACCTAAAATTTTCGTTCATTGACTTTCTAAATTTTAGGTACGAAAACCTAAGGGATCCAAAATAGTCCTTTTCCCTTAATTCAAACGAATATCTCAGTGCACAAGTCACCAAAGTGGTGTAAAGTCCTCGTTGGAGGTGCCCGAGTCCCACAAGAAATAAAGAGGTGTCAGAAAATTGATGAAGCTGGTGACATAAAAAAAACGTTTTTTATGGCTGAGATATTCGTTTGATATATCAACTGTTAGAGCTTGACCAAGTTTATAAATAATTTTTTTTAACTTAAATATTAAGGATGAATAAAATTAAGATGTTATTATATAAAAATATCTTAAGTTCAAATCTCCTATAAGAAGATATTAATATCTACTTGACATATATATCAATATTGTTAACAACTAGATTAATTATGTTTATGAAATTAATACACAACCTAATTAGTGGTGAAACTCTTATGTCACTCCGTGCTTTATATTTGGTAAGGGATTCATTTGGGTTCTGCTTAATTTAAAAGATTCGCTTGCATTCGTTGATATTTTGTATTGTGAAATGGTACAAGGGTTCATGTGACATTATAAAATAGAACATCATATTCTTCACATATGACTTTATGCCAATATGGAGATTTTTGGATTTAGGTGATAGCTGTGAGTTCAGTAGGCTCACGCGAAAAGCTTGTGGTTGCATGAAGGTCAAGGATTTGACGTAGTTTGAATATATCATTTTTTAAGCATATTGTCATGTGATGTTCAGACTCGGTGGTATTATTGGGTTATGTTAGAGGTATAAGAATTGATAGAGAATTAGTGACAAATACCTTATCAGATTAATGCACTTTGGTGTCACTTGATCGAGTAGAGAATAATGACACCATTATGGTGTCATGGGTATTGCTTCATCAAGCATTGTGAGTTGGTAGAAAAATAGATGGAGAAGTTGTAGAGGGTGTAAGGTGTTATTGAACTAGAGTGATAAGGGAGTACAAGTCTAGAGGAGAATTGTTAGTTGATATGGTAGAGGTATATTTGAGGATGTTTAAAGTATACTCATATGAATTCAGTGATATATGATTGTTGTAATAGCTTGCATTATTGAATGAGCAATATTTAGAAGAGAAATATGGACTCAATAAAAATAATATGACCTGAAATAAAGACCTTTTAAGTTTGAGAATCATAGCACAAAAAAGTATTATGTTCTAGGGAGTACGCAATGAAGATGGAAGACTTGGAACTTGGTGTTAACTTATGTGAAACGTAAGGGCGTAGCCGGCGATAACATAAATAACCAAATACTTTGAGCTTTTGAAGGTTTAAGGTTTTGTGAAATAATTTTTTAAATGGTGATGGATGCTGTAGGATTGGGGTGAGCATGCAGTTATTGAGGTAGACTGTAACTTAAAAGACTATCGACCAAAAGATTAGTGGCATAAAGGCTTGGTGTAAGAGGGTGAGATTAGTTTCAACTATATCGATGCTTTCATTCGGTAGAGCCAACTAATTAAAGTACGTGTGGTGGTAACTTAGAGATGTTATATACCACAAGACGAGAGGTAAGTTGTTAAAACTTGGTATTCACCTCCTCTATCTAAGTAAATTATTTTAATGATAAATTTGAAGAAGTTTTCGACTTTCATTTTGAAATGGGTAAAGATTTTAGTGACTTTAGATTTATATTTGAGAGAATATAACCATGTATATTTAATGAAGTAATATATAAAAATAACATAAAATCTAAAATTATCAAAGAAAATGGTTAGGGTAGGGTCCCAGATATCAGTATAAATAATTTTAAATGATTTAGAGCATAATATGGAAGATGTATCAAAAGATAATTTGTGACTTTTATTACTAAGGCAAGTATCACAATGAGTTTCAATTCTACTTGATTTGAATGTTGCAAGGGAGTAATGAGATATTAGCTACTTGAATGGAAGATGACGAATGACTAAGGCGACGATGACACATATCGATTAGAGTAACAACTAAAGTAAGAGCGATTGAATGAGTGATTTATGAAGCTAACGGTCATTAATAGATGTCATTTTTATTTTAGCATTGGACCAAGGATACCCCTGTGCTTAGATCCTTTACAAGAAATAAGTCAGGAGCGAACTCAATAGAGGTATTATTTTATTTATAGAATTGAGAGACAGAGATAAGATTCATTCTAATGTGAGGTGCATACAAAGCATTATTAAGTGTAAAAGTATTTATGTATGAATTAAGTGTCGTGGAACTAATATGAGTAATAGGGATTCTGTTACCATCACAAATGATGATATCTTCATTGCCTCCATAGTTGTTGTGGATGAATAAGTTTTTAAAATAAGAGATGATATGATGAGAAGTACCAAAACCTACAATCTAATTGGTTGAATGAGCAATTTGAGTAGTTATGATGTTTTCTTGATGCTGGTTGAGTGTGGTAGTAGGCATGGGTCAAGACCGACAATGTTGTGTGTCCAATTTTATCATAGAGTTGGTAAATGACTTTATATTAATTATTATTATTGGGATGCTAAAACTAATAGTAGTTATAGTTGAAATTATTTTTGAAGTTGTTCAGATTGAAATTGCCACATAGTTGGAGGGTTGACAGTGTAACAGAGGATTATGATTCTTGTGTTACTAATGTATCCAAGAGGCATCTTGTTCTGTACTTTATTGAAGCTTTTATTGTTTTGATTATCCTTTTTTTTTATTGAGCTGAGCTATAATAGGATGACCTATTAAAACCAAGTCATCTATAATAACATTTACATTATATATATAATTAATAATAGTACTTTCCTCTTATGTTATTTTTATTAGTATAGATAAAAAACTTAGCATGTGAGTAGGAGTAACAATCGGGAAGGGCTCCAGCTCCTGCTTTGGCTCTGGGAGTAGATCGCGTGGAAGGTCCGAGAGTAGGCTTCAGGAGATCTCATATCTATAAATCTAGGATCTACGTTGAAGGAGCATCTAAGGACACCAACAAAGTTGGCAACAAAGAACTTGTCAACGTTAAAGACGAGGCAGTAGGCGTCCTTGAGGAACTCCGACGTTAGATTATCGAGAAAATGTTTGATGCTACAACGATATTAGTGACATCATATGGTAAAGAGAGCGATCTCCGATGGAAGGGAAAGGATGGAGGATTGGTGGTGGGCGAGAAGAGTAAATCTATGATGGTAGTAGTAATGTATTGATCTAGGAGGAAAAAGATTACAGATTTATGTTGAATATTATAGATTTAGGAAGAAGATTGTCGAGTAAAGTAATCAACAGTGATGGCTGGTGTTTGTTGCTAGCTTGTGAGGAAGATGATAGACAGATAAAATAACTCCAATTGACATTTACGATAATAGCACGCTGCTCTTTCTATTATTGTCAATTGTGAGAGATTTAACATAAGAGAAGGATCATCAGGTAAAAGAGGAAATAGGAACCGAGGCAATCATTATGGCAAATCAATAGAAAAGATGGATTACAGTCGTCGAACAACCAAGAACGAAAAATAAGGCATGAGAAGCTATGATACTATGATGAATTAAAAAATAAAATAATTTTATTCATTGAGATAATATATATTCATATAAGTTTTAAGAGAAAGATTTTTCTCAGTTACTTAACTTATTCAATCAAATCATACATTTAAATTTATAATTAATTTTAAATTATAAATTAATTAAATATACAAGAAATATAAGAATATCATTTCATGTTTTATCTATGTAAAAGATAAACATGAACGCAATGGTTCTCATGAATCAGCTTTAGTATGTACGGCAGATATGGAGAGTGACGTGGTTGAACGGAATTCTGTGCCATCTCGGATGCATCAGCAGCTCAGTCATGGTTGCGTCCTTCCACAGGTAACACATCTACTATGGCTTTTAGCTTCTTCGGAGAACGTTGTGGAGTCCACGAAAGAATCAAAGTACGTTCAAACATTGCATTAGCGTGTGGCCGACAAAATGAATTAGATGTTTTCAAAATCGTGCTCCAAATGCACAAAGACTTTTTCGAATGAATTCCGAAAAACATAAAACTCTCATTTTATGTGTTGCTCTTTAGGCATCCCATCTTTTTAGTTTTCAATTATCTTATATATTAATATATCACTCGATATATCAATCTGTATTAGTTTGGTAGATTACTAATATTGGATCAGGAATTAAATTGAGCTCATTATATATATACATACATATATATCAGGAATTAAATTGAGCTCAATATATCACTCGATATATATGCCATTCCATTCCCGGCCCCACTCTTTCCCACCAATTAGGCACCACAACCACCCCGCGAGCTCCGCCTCCATGGAGTGGGCCCGCGCGGACCCCTGTTGGGTCCCTTTCGTTTCCCCATATATCACTAAAGCTGGAAGAGAAAAAAAAGAAATAATACAAATAACTCACAGCTTTGACACGTCCAAGAAAAGGCGAGCATGCGACGCCGTCTCACACGCGCGCACTCTCTCTCCGCACAGCTACTTCACTCTCCACTCACTCTTCCCGTCCACTGTTGTCGGCCAAATACGACAAACCAAATTATAAAGCAGTTAACTCGCCAAAACGACGAAACGGTGACGGCGGTTTCGTCATTCCAGGTAAAAAAAACCTCGTCCGTGAGTTCCGTTACGAGAAGTCGTTGGCATCCAAATCGCCAAACTCCACCTCCAACAGCCGCGGCCTCGGCCAGTAGAACTCCGCCATGAACTGCGGCGACGCGTCCGCACCCAGCACCAGGGCTTCCATTCCCCCGTCGAAGGTGTAGTCGAAGGCCGCCTCCCGGTCGTCGCCGTGGCGGAGCACCGACGTCGGAGAAGCGCGCTCCTCCTCCTCCTCCTCCCCCACCGCTTTCGCGGTCGGGAAGTTGGTCACTGCCTTCGCGCCCTTCAGCCGCAGGGCCGCCATGTCGTACACCGTCGCCGCCTCCTCCGCCGTGTCGAAGGTCCCGAGCCACAGCCGCTTTCGCTGGTGCGGGTCGCGGATCTCCGCCGCCCACCGGCCCCACGGCCGCTGCCGCACGCCGCGGAACCCCCGCTTCCCTCGCTCCCCTCCTTCCACCTCCGCGGCCCTCCGCCGCGGCGCGCGGGCCATTTCGATCTTGAACTCGTGCACGTACCGCTTCACACGGCGCCGGGCTCCAGGCTCCTCTTCGCCCGACGACGATTCAGTGGCATCAGCGTCATCGAAGTAGACCCGAACGATCCTATTCCGGCGACCCGATCCCCCCGCGACGCCGACTTTCTTCAGCTCAATCCCGCAAGCGGCTTCTGCCGGATCCATCAGAGGTACTCTCTTCCTTCACTTCTCGGACACCAGAAACCTCTAAAACCATGAATAGAAAGGGGGCAAATCAGTTCAAAAGGTTAGGGTTTAGCGATGATTTGGGCTCGATCCATGGCGGGTCGTGGGGGACGAGGACGAGGTAGGTACAAACGAATTGGAGGCAAAGGGGGCAGTCGATAGCTTGACAGCCCAAAGCTTTTAACCCACCCATCTTTCCTAATTTACTATTTTACCCCTATGCCAGCTGGCTTCCGATGGGGCGCGTCGGGGTCGTTGGTTGGCTTCCGCATCAAATTTCGAAAATACCACCTCCAGCTAGTCTCTCAACACGTGGCACCATTTAATTCTCAGCCGTTGGATGGGCTGTGGGGTCGACGTCGTCGTCGCTCCCCAGCGGTGGATATGATTCACGTGATCGAGGCACGTTGACCACGTGGACGGCGCCGTGTGCGTTTATCATGCCCTCGGACACCACGAGTGGCGTGATCGTGGATCCGGTGATCGACGGCCACGAGTGGACCGGCCGTGGATGGAGGACTACGCAACGTAGAACTAACAGTTGGCCAGTAGTACTCATTCCAATTATTATTTTTGGTGGTTATATCTTCTAATGTACAGTATAATGGCACTGAAGAATACTTTTCTTGAACTGAGAAGGAATCAACAAGATAGTGACTTGGCAGACGATGGGCGAGATATTACTAATTCTTTATCAACATTATTCCGTATAAAAGCTTAAGCAATAAGTCTTATTTGCAGCCTGATTGGCTACTTAATTTGATTAAAGATAGAAGATTGTTGATGTTCCTGATGATTGTAAGAATACTCCATGATGGGACCAATTTAAATTGCACTAGCTTCATATTGAATTGCTAATTTGTTGTGAACATACTACTGACCATCAAGTGTACATCATATTCCTTCATGACTTTTAGGCTTCCAGACAATCTTCAATTTTTCATCACTGATATTTCATTTGAAAGTCGAAACCAATAATTATCAACTGATTTATATTATCAACATATTCTTTCCAGCCTCATATATAGTGTAGATATATATGGGTCCCTCTCGTAAGCATTTTTTTGTGATATTTGAATAAAATTTAAAAAATATTAAAAAATAAATGATATGAGCCGATCCAACATACCAATGATAAACCGACAGGTATCGAGAGACCATCTCATAATGATGGCCCCAACTATATTGTCCGTAATTAAATCACTATCATTATTAGTGTTAACAGACCAACATTGTCTGTCAACTTGTTGTACTGTGACACTGTTGAGCTGATGGTAAGGATGTGATCATTGTGACACTGTTGAGCTGATGATAAAGATGTGATCATTCCAAAAGCATTAGGTAAAGCGTGTATCCTAAGTATTATATCTCTCGAATCTCGGGACTTTCTTTGCATTTAAAGTTCCTATTATCTTTTGTTTCTTCACATTGGAATCTCGTTTGAGACGTCCCATCGACTCTTCTCTTCGAATTGATAAGTCAAATCATGACGAAAATTACTTTAAGTAATTTATTCTTGGATTCTAATTAAAAGAATTATAAAAATGATACCATCATTTATACTTACTTAATTTTTTAATTTATTTAAAAAAAATATCATTGACACACCCGACGTGATCCAGACTCGTAAACGTAGAAATATATGAGATGTCTCCGAAGTAAAAATATTGTGCTTCCGAGATATCATATATACGAAAATCGAGGTCGAGAAAGATTTTCTGATTCGATACCTTTGACACTCAAATTAGTAATATGATATCTCATAATATAGATTTGAGTAGTACAAAATGAGTCTCTTCTCCTTCGTAGCAAATCTCATGTCTTTCTATAATGACGAGCATTAAATTTTCTTTCTATCATAGTGGATTTTAGGTTCTCCCTCCGTTATAACGGATTTCGAACCTTTCATCTTGGAGATATCTTAGACATTTTTGTACGTATAGATTTGGATCATATCAAGCTGGCCAAGACATTAATAATATTTTCTCATAATATCATTTGATTGAGTCTTTTTTTTCCCTTTAATTAGTTATTTTAATCTATTTTTTATTTAACAAATGACAAATAGTGGCAAATTTTATCTTCATCATTCATACTTTGAAAAAAAAAATAGACCTTAGTAATAAAATAGGAATAGCTAGTGTCTTGTAAGAAAAAAAAATTCACATTCACAAAAAATAATAACAACAACAACAATACAACACTAATAAGTACATTGATTTACACTTGATAATAGTCTTCCTTGTTTGTTCACAAGATAATTTACTAATTATTTGAACTAATATATTTGAAACATATAATATAAATTATAAAATGACCATCATAACTTATTTCTACAACTATTGCATCTCCTTTTTCTTTTCTTAAGGACTACATATCCTAATTATCTCTTTCATGAGATATTTATGAATTCACAAGCTAAAATTTAGAAGTATCGAGTTGATTAAAAGAAGAAAACTTTAAATAAAAGGGTGCCGAACATTAGAATAGAAAGAAGAACACTAAAACCTAACATTATCAAGTAGTCTTATAAGAAGATAGGTTAAGTCATATTTTTTTGCTAGCTTTCTACTATATGAAGAGTGAGAAAGTCTAGGTTTTGACTTGTAAAGTAGGTGTTAGTTTGGATATCTAATTTAATCACATTTAAGGTTTAGAATCCTCAGAGGATCTTGATAGAGATCTTTCAATTGATCATGAGTGGGTGTCCACTTTGTGGTCACGGCGGAGCCTCTACGTGCGTTTGGTCCTTTTGGTCGGTTTGGCCTCTTATCTCATTAAAACATTAACGTATGATGACTCTTATGTGACATGTGCATCACGCGCGTGAGTTAGGTACCTCTTCTATGGTCTATTTTACCTATTTTCTCTTTATAATCAAGGCTTATTCTTACTGGATATATATCCCACTGGAATAATTTTTTACTTTGCATCCTTCCCTTTGAAAGTTTTGGAGACTACCATCGTCTTGAACTACTTCATCTTGTTCAATAAATTGTGTATTATTTTGCCCCCATGAACGCATTTGCTATATTGTGACTCTTCACCAATACAATCCCCACTACGCCCCTTAGGGCCTAGTAATATGTTGAATTTATTACATACTTCAGCATTCTATAGACGTATCATTCTCATGTTAAAACGAAAGTTTCAATACTCTATGACATTTAGTTTCAATCGTCTTAGGATGGCCATAAATATCAAATTCTTCGAGTTAGTAATTCTCCTCGTCTATATGAGCTTTGCATAACTCTTTTGATCGCTACACAACCCATCCAACCTTGCACGATCTCACCCTTTAAGTTTGGTTGTCAACATCGAGTCATAGCTCAAACTCAATCATTCCAATCTTTGTGCATTACATGTTCTTTCCAACTCATTTATCCTCGTGGTGTCTCTCACACAAAAGGTTAGCCATTTTCGTGAATACAAATCTTGGATGCTCGCTCCTCTAAGTGACTCATTTCCTTATATCTTTACACTCGTTTCGCACATGCTAACTGCCTTGAACGTAGCCTCGCTAAGTCCCTTACGTTTTCATGACAATTGTTTCTAAGTATGCTTGTCTCATTCTAATACTATATATTACAAACTTAAGTGGTTTTTCCTAAGTCATGCCGCAAAGGGTCTGTCTCCCCAAAACCTCTTATAATCCCTTGTGGACTTACAAAACAGAAGACATGTTAAAGAAAGCATTTAACTTAACATTCACAAGTAGTCATTTCAACAGAGTTCGCAAGCTTTGAATGATCCTACGACAAATAATCCAAGGTGGCCTATTGTAAGTCTCCATAAGTGCCCATATAACACTGCTATGGAACAAGACAATAAATCAATTCTAAATACTATCTCAAAGGCTCATCTAGTCATGTGTCATTCCGGTAGCTCCTATGTGTTGTGCTGTCAGACACTCCACACGATTCTACGAGACTAGAAAACTTACAAAATAATTATCTGGATCACCTATTTCTGGGCATAAAAACCAATTAAAATAAGACTACCAAATATACTACACTTAAAAATATAAAGACATGTTACGCGAGCATTACTTCGAACACCCTGCTAAGTACCGATTACTTAGAACAAACAACATACCAACCAACATATCTACTTTTTTAAACCTTAGTCTACAAATCGAGGGATCTCAGATAAGCAAGAACAGTGATGGCATGCATTTGCCAGATCCAAGGATAGTCGATTGTTCTATCTGCAAATATTAAAGTGAATCAGATTAGGCCGCAGATTTTTGAAGCCAGAATTGGCGAGAAAATTAGAGAAAAAATATGAAATCATTTGGTATAACTCCTGGAAAGAGACTGCCTGAAAATACTAACAGAGGACATGGATACATTTGGCATAGGGACTATATGATAGAGAATATCATACAAAGTTGATCGGGCCTGTATGATTTTATCATAAGATATCAAGATTAATAGTTGGGCTTATAGCCAAATGAAACCTAAATTTTCAGTGCTGCAACTGTATAATGTTTCAATTGCAAAAAAGATCAACACAAGCATCTGTGATCTTACATCTAAATTACAGATAAGCTTAACATGGAAGAACAATGTTCCCAAATTACTTTGAAGAGATGCAGTGATATCAATAGCATTGTTATCGGGTCTACAAAGAAATCAGAAATCAGAAAATAGACATCCATCCTTCTGTGTTAGTTTTATTTGTAGAAGTCGAAATCTGTGTCTGGTTTCTTCACATTGGAGCGGTAACCTTTCTCGAAGTCCTTGGGAAGAATCACATATCGATTCTTTCGAACAGCATGCATCCCTGCTTCCTGGCAAATGGCAGCAATCTGCAAACAACCATGGAAATTGTTCAGTTTGTTCCAGATGTAAATTGGCTTAGGGAAGCTTGGTCATTGGATGTAATGAACTACTAAAGCACCAAGTAAGAATACACATGCACCATGACATGCATCCAGTTGCATCAGGAAGCAGTTTTCTACCTGACTACACCAGAGTCATGGTAAAATATATCTAATGTCAAGAAGATTTTCCTTTCTTTTTTTCTTTTCTTTATCAGTAATATGGTTAAGCCATGTTTTCCAGCTTAATAAATTCACAGAAACATTACAATAGACAAGCATGATGCATTAAACAACACATATAACCAAAAGAATATAGTCAAGTCTTACCAGAAAAACTGTTAACTCTTTAATAAAAACCTAGCAGCATTCCCTTCAAATAAAGTGCTTTTGTTTTGTCTTTGCATTATTCAACAACAATTTTGGGAGTTGGGGAACATTACAAGTTCGGTGTACTGCACAAACAACTCACTTGCATGCTATGCAAAGCATGTGATGCTCACTGCTCTCAAAGCTACAAGTAAATAAGTTGTGGGACTTACTGTGTTGTATATACAATAGAAATTTACTATAGTAATGTCTTTGTAAAATATTAATAATATTTATATTGTAATAACTATTGCATGGTTTCTTTATTGAATCATTCACTTTGTTTTTCAGTATAAGGTATAATTCTTTATCTTTTATATTTTGGTTTCATATGTTGTTCTACAGCTACATGTCTTGCAAAATATAGAAGAATCTTATAGAATATAACATAATCTTTTATTAATTTTAAATTTTTTTGTAAAATTTTATAATTTCCTAAGACTATTTAAATTTTAATTTAATTTTTCAGTCAATCTAATCCTGCTGATTTGATGAATTTTGCTAACCCCAATCATATATTCTTGACCGATAGTGATCCAGACCATGCATAAACATGCATTGTTTAATCTATGTTCGTTCATATCATAAGCTTTCTACAAGAATGGGGTTGCAATTTCTTCTTGTTTGTTATTAGTTATTACTACCCATGTGAAGATATACTGAGAAAAAAAAAAAAACTAATGCGACATCATTGACTATTAACAGTCTGATATCATCAAAATAATGAAAGTATCATCCCATTTACGACTGCCAAGATTCTGAAGAAACTGACCTCAGCTGCACTTATTTTATCTGGCCGGGAAACATAATCTTCCAAGTCAACCTCATCACTGAGATTCATTTTTGCAGTGCATACCTGGAAAGAACAAAATGCATAAACATCATTTAGTTTGGAAAAATTATTCAAAGAAACAAATTCATATGCATGATCATGATCCTAAACAACCATGAAAGAAGAGAAGCAAGAAGATTAGCATAATTTCTTTTTATTGTTTCAAGCTTATGGTCAATTTGTTCTATCAAAGAAATCATACTTCAGTTTGTTGTTTGCTGATTTGAGCTTTCTCTATCACATAAATCAAACTTCAGTTTTCCTTTGTCATTTTACTATACTGTTATGTTATTAATTTTTATTAAATCATAATTCCAAGCATTAGTTTCTTAACTTAGATCCACAGCAGAAACTTGGTATGGGAAAAATGGCAAGCAGAATAACCATAACCATGCAAGTGCTGCTGTATAATGAAATCTTGAAAAATCAAAAGAAAAAACTAGCATTTCTTTTACTTCTTTATTGAAATTAAGAATTTCATATGGTCATAAACCAAAAAGTTATAAACCAGTCCGTGCTGCATTCCTGCATCATACAGGTATGGCACTGTATATCACAGTTTCCTGCTGAAAAAGAACTAGAAAATTGATCAATGAGTCAAGCTGGTAACCAATGTAGAGTTAAAAGGCTAGGACTATTAAAATCCATTTAATATTGTTCCATAATAAATCCTTGGTAATAACACTATTTTGGATGTGTAACTGCACATAGAAAAATCTAACACTTGTTAGCTCTTCAGAACTAAGAAATTTCCATGCAGAATTTGTGGGCCATGTTTCTGACATTTTTACTGAAAACAAAGATTTCTAAACTCAATCCATTTTTGGAGCTGATTGTTATTCAGCATCCAGGTCCTCCTGATGCTTTTATAAGGTAAAACATTAAAGAGAATTTCACAACTGCAGGTCTGTGATCATAGATTAAAAAAGTCTAGTTTAAGTTGTTTAACCATCAATACTAAACCTCAAATTTCATCTAGATCCAGCCAACTAGCAGATAAATCTTAAGATGCTTATCGATTAAATAGTACAAAGAATGTCTGCACATCTTACTTGGAAAACCAGTCTCTTTTGCCGTCTGTCAGGCAAAGGGAATTCAATCTTACGATCAAGCCTACCCGGACGGAGAAGAGCAGGGTCCAGAGTGTCAGCTCGATTAGTTGCCATTATAACCTTTACATTCACTGTTTGATCAAACCCATCCATCTGCAAAAGTAAAGACAACCAGCCTTATTGCAGAAGCATGTACAGTGACATGTAAGCATATGTTTATTGGAAGAGAAATCATGGTGGCTGAAGCATAGATGTCATTTTACATGGTATAAGCACAACTACTTCTTGATTAAAGTACAATTTAGGAAAACCGTTGTTATTGCTAGTTTCCGGCCTCAAATTGGATTAAACCTTTAGTCTGAGCACATTCACAGCTAAGATTGACTGATTAAAATTCATTGAAGATTCCAATGTTCACAAAATGCCAGAGCTGGCAGATTGGAGCAAATCACATGGCATATGTAGCAGCAAAAATCATTGTACAGCCTAAATCTGGTTTCATTCAGGAATAATTGTAATAAGTCCCTTGCACCATGGTTGACTAGAATGGGTAGCAGAAAAAGGACACGTGGCATTTCATAGACTAGTTACAATATGCATGCAAACCTACATGGACAATTATATTTCATATGAGAATGACAAACATTAGTTTGTAGTGTCATTAGATTAACTTATGTCTCCAACACCAGTCGCATGGTGTCATAGAAATCGTTAATTTGATTGAATTGCATATGCTCTTGTAAAGGATACATCAGGTGCAGGAGATAGTTCAGGACGACAGGAACCATCGAAACCTTGCAGAGGTAACCCACTGTTACGATAACCTCATTGTGTTTTGAGAAGTATGTATTTTTCATGATAATTTAGGTTTAATATACTGCTAGTGGTTTAACTTGAGTTGCTTAATTAATGAAATTACAGGATTAAGAGTTGGATTATTTAATCCCAGGCAGAGAAATAAGTCTTCAAGCATACAAACAAAGAAGGATATATGTTTGTTCTAGTAAATGTTCCTCAGAAGTTCTTGGTTTCCTTAATTTTCTTTTACCTGATTCAAGAGTTCCATCAGGATACGCTGAACTTCCCTGTCAGCTCCAGTTTGTGCATCAAAACGTGCAGTAGCAATAGCATCGACCTCATCAATAAATATAATTGCAGGTGCATTTTCTTTTGCAAGACGAAAAACATCCCGCACCATTCTGGGGCCCTGAAGCACAGAATATCTTAAACATGAGACTGAACATAGAAAAATGATTTTTGCAAAGCATCATGATTTTCTTCATATCTAGGATGATCAATCTTCCTTGAGTAATCAAGTATAAATGAAAGAACAAATGGTTATATATTAGAAGTCAATCTCAACGTCTTTTCTTCATAACTCGGTGACAAAAATAACTATGGCCTCTGCACAATGAAGAACAACAAGGTAATAACCAAATGCATGATATAAATTAGAGATTACTAACTTCATAAGCATTGTGGTAAAACAAAAATCTAAGATACAATAAAAGTGAATTGTTATCCTAAGAAACGGTGTTAAAAAAATTATGTCTACATGAATGTCTTTGCATAAATTAAATTGACGTACAAAAAAGAAATGTTATGGTGCAATGCATGTGATTCAAAAAGATAGTCCTGAAAAACAGTACCTCACCCAAATACTTCTGAACAAATTCAGACCCAACAACTCTTATAAAAGCAGCAGTTGTATGATGAGCCACAGCCTTCGCTAGCATGGTTTTACCCGTACCAGGAGGACCATAGAGAAGAACCCCTCTTGGTGGATCTATACCAATTTGTTTGTACAGCTCATGATGTGTCAAAGGTAATTCAACAGCTTCACGAATTTCCTGCTTTTGAATATCACAACCCCCAATATCCTGGTTACACAAAAGAAAGAAAAGTAAGAAAGCATATCAATCTCAACTTTATACTCAACCCAAACTGACATCAAATGTTGAAAAAGGAAAGATAATTTTAACACATAATGGTTACTAACTTGCGGAAATAGAAAATTGTTTCTATTAGGCTATGAAATATGGGGTCTACCAATAGGTATTTTTCTTTTTGTTAAATCAAAAAGAAGTACCAAACTAGAAAAAAGGTAACTATCAACATCACCATATTGTGTGCCCAGAGAAAGGACCACAATAACTGCTATAATTTTCTGTGGGTTTCCATAAAAGTAATGCCCCTCAGTTTCTTAGTGTTATCTCCTCTTTCCGCGATGACCTCTCTGCCTCCATCCTCTTCCCCTGTGTTCTCCCCCTTTCCGCCTTCCCATACTCCGCCAAAGCCTCCAGATCCTAATTGCCATGATTCCTTTGCTCTTCGGAAAGCATCATAGGCTTCTATACTTTCTTCAAAACCATTCTTCTCGATGGACAACTCGGGATCTCTGCTTCATCATTCTCCAATTAAACGCATCAAAACTTCATCGCAAGACTTTGTGTCATTTGATGAACATGAGTTACAATCTTGGAGAAAATTTTAGAGTTCCTACTTGATTGGTAAGTTCCTTCGTCGTCCCCCTCCTATGCCGGTTTTGCACAATATTCTTCCTGAGATTTGGTCTCAATCAAAGTCCTTTTCAGTCTTATGGAAGCAGGTTTTTTCTTGTTTCGTTTTCATTCATTCAGAGTCAAATGCCCTAAAAATTCTCATGGATGGTCCATGGAACATCAGAGGAGATGTTCTTCAATTAACTCCTTGGTAGCCTAATTTCTAGCTGATGACGGCTAGCCTATATGGATTCGTCTCCCAGGACTCCCAATGGAATATTGGAATGAGGAATGCCTCTTTAATCTTGCCCCCCTCCTTGGTCGTCCCCTCAAAATTGATCATTCATCTCTCAAGTTTGAGAGATGCCGATATGTTAGAGTTTGTGTAGAAATCAATATTACTCTTCCCCATAAACAAGGCATCTGGATAGGTGAATCTAAAACAAATCAACGTCCTCATACTTCCGGTGATCCTTCAATTACTACTACTTCCTTGGATGGAGCTCAGCCCCCTATTGAGTCTCAACCAGGTTCAGTAGTTGATAAGGATTGGAAGGATCTAAACTTTAGTCCTTAGAGTCCAGCATCGTCCATCTTGTCCAAAAACTCTAATGAGAGTATCAGTGCCGGAGATGAGGGCAAAATCATTTGAAGACTCAAAATGCTAAACACGTGAAGGAGTCAACGACGATTACCTGCACAAACATCTCCCCGATATCGAAATCTGCATCGCTTCAAACCATGCGTCCTGCTGCTAATGCCACATCTCTCACTATTTCTGTGATGGTTTCCAACTCGAGCACACCTCTGGCTCCAAAACAAAGTGCCACTTTGCATCCCTTTATGGATGCCAACTGCCCCACTAATGGATTTCAATTCCCAATGTATCTCTTGAAGCAGATATGGCATTGATGAGTCACGTGGACTCATTTGTACCTAATGTGTCAAATAACACTGTTTCAGATTCGGGTATGGAAACTAATAAGACTATCCATTTCCGTCAAAGAATCCGAACACTTAATCGACCCGTATCATTCTTCACGTCTTATCACTTCTTCAGTTTACATTGGTATGCAAGTTGATGAGATGCATAATACCCTTGACCCCAATCCTCTAGCTATTGTTCATGTTTCTACAGAACTCACAATTGGGGACCCTAGAACCCTAGAGACCAAGAGGATGTCCGACAAGGTTCTCTTTGCTATCCAGGATCAAGGTTCCTCCAGTGAGCTCTCCAGTCATCCGGCCAACAAATCTGATGCTTCTAAATCTTCTCTTCATAATCTTCAACGAGATGTCTCGGGTCCTAAGTTACGTTCTAAAATATCTACACATACTGGATTAAGAGCTATCAATGGCATCATCAAGGGTAAGAAGAAACTAAAAATATCGTACTCTGTTTCTGAGATTGATCTTTTATCTTCTATTGCTGCCAATACGGGGTCAATATCAACTTTATCTTCCTCTCCTAAATGATTCTATTTAGTTGGAATTATCGTGGCATAAGGAGAAAACCCATACAGGAATTCCTCTCTTATGCTTGTAGAACACAAAAACCTGCTCTATTACTGCAGGAAACTCATGATGATGCTGAACAATCTACAAGAGCTATCAAGTGTTAATGGAATCAGTTAAAAGGGGATTTTCAACCAGCTGAAGGTGCCTCTGGTGGATCATACTTGCTTGGTCAGTTAGTATTGCACATGTCTAGGTGATATCTAAACACTCCCAATTTATTCATGCAATAGTTCAATTACATAAATGATAAACCCTGGCTTTTGACTGGTATTTACGCTAGTACTTCTATTTTTTTATTGTAATAAGCTTTGGGATCATTTAACTGCTTTAAATTTCTCTGATATACCTTGGTGCATTATGGGAGACCATTGTATTCTGAATTCTTATGATAAATTGGGTGTAGGCATTTTTATACTAATACCTCAACTCATGCTTTTCAGGATTTTGTGAAACACTATAATCTTACTGATTCAGGTTTTTCGGTTCAAAATATACATGGTGTAATAAGAAAAATGGTCCTGCTAGAATATCCATTAGATTAGATAGGGTCTTTGGTAATAATTTATGGATCAGTTCTTATGACAATTCTTCTGTTTATCATCTTCATCGGCTTTGCTCGGATCACCCTCCTCTCAAAGTCCAACTTATGAGTCATAACTTTAATAGAACTAAAATTTTCAGATTTCAAAATTTTTGGACTCATTACCTTGAAACCTAAGTTAGTTTCTTTGTTTGGAATAACTCTACTACTAATAGTGAACCTCTTACTGGTTCTCACTCTAATTTGTATAAAGCTCATAGAGTTTTCTCTAACTGGAATAGAAACAATTTAGGTATGCTAGAGACTAAGTTAAATGATGTTCAAAGTAAAATTATTGATCTTGAATCACAACTTGACAATAACAATCATTCTAATTCTATTCTCTTACGTCTGTCTTCCCTTTATAATCTTCAAATGGCCTTAATTAAATAATTAATTCTTAAATGGTGGGTTAAAGCAAAATGTAGTTGGATTAATGTTAATGACACAAATGTCAAATAATTTCATAATTTGGTTGTTCAGTATAAATGTAGAAACTACATAAGGGGTATCTATGATAACAATAATAATCATGTTCAAGATACTAAACATATTTTAAATCTTTTTAGTCGGCATTCTTTTGAAACTTTGGAATTACTCAATTAGTAGACCCCCTTCTCATCTTACTTGGCCTACTACTACTACTATTTCTAATTGCGATAAAGATTCATAGATCACTCCTTTTACCATTGAGGAAATCCACAATGTTGTTATCTCGATTAAAGCTCTAGACCTGATGATTTTACTAGAGAATTTTATAAATCTTATTAGAATATTCTTTCCCTTTATTTCCTTAAGATTTTTCAATCTTTTTATAAGCATGCTTACATTCCCCCCTCCTAGGCTATGACCCATTTAACTTTCATTCCTAAGAATAAGAATCCTACTCTAATAAATCATTTTCAACCAATTGCTTTATCTAATATAAATTATATAATTCTGGCCAAGATTCTAGCTAACTGATTAAAGCCTTTCCTTAATACTCTTATTAAGGGTTAACAATCTGCTTTTATTCCTGGGCGTAGTATTCATGATAATATACTTGTTGCTTACGAGGCTACTCATTCTATGTATTCTTCTAGGCGTAAAAATCCTATTGTTATGAATACGGTAGATCTAGAAAAAGTTTTTGATACACTTTCTTGGGAAGCTATTTTGAAAACCCTTTCTATATAATAAAAAATTATATTTGAAACCTTCGACTTACACTTATTTCTAGCACTAGACATGGGTCCACCGTCAAGAATATGTAAATCTGTGTCAAATCCATCAACTCCCTAAATATTCTTCCTAAGCACCTACTTGTTGTGTCACCTTGACCAAAGTTCAGGCAGGCCCCAACATTTTTATCCATGATCAAATTGTATCATAAGGCCTCCACTGAGTTTTTGCCAAAATATTGAATTATGCTGACAAAAATAGCTAGTACATTGCATCATAGGCTTGCCAAAACAACTCTGGGTTCACACATACTATGTCAAACTGTGCTGGATGGCATGTACGCATCGCACATTATTGGCATGAAATATGCAAAAAAATTAACATCTTGGTGAACTGGGGGCAGAAAACAGGGTACAACTAACAGATTTGCTATACACATTGTTTTACCAAAATATAATTTTCAGTTTAATGCCTCAAATACCAGTATCTACTTTTCAATTACATTCTGAAACCTCTGAGGTCCTTTATGATGCCAAGTACATATTACTTTAGTACCACTAGTATCACTTTGTTCCTATCTAAAATGACTGAATGATATTTTATTTGGACTAAAAACTTTTGCCAGTTTACCCATTTAAAAGAGTTCCCAATAATAACCTAAAGGTAGTCATTTCCTCACAACTTATGCCATCATAAGTGATTAGACATCTGCAGCAATCTTAAGCACATGATTATTTTCTATCTGAAAATTATGTTTTTGCTCTTATTTGAACAATGGTAGTATATTTGAACGATTTTTTAATTGCATAATCTAAAATTCTGATTTTACAACAATTTTTTTGGATAAAATAAGAATCCACGAGATGAAAAAACATAATATCTTCTACACTAATTATGATCGCAAGTTTCATCCAAGTTTCTTCCCAAACCCTAAATATTAATCTCAAAACAGAGATAGGCGCACAAATGATAATTAATAGCCAGAACTCTAGGGTTTCACGACTCACAGTGTAGGTGACATCGGGTTTCTCTGACTGGCTAAGGAGAGAGATGCTTGAATCGGCCTCAGGGGGCAGCACATCGACGAGCGCATTGGAGTGACGATGAAGTGCGACAGAGGATGAGGGCTTGAGGAGCTCCCGATTAATGGTGCTCAGGATCCGGACATAGTAATTCGATCCGGTGGTGGATCCGACGATGCCGTTGTTCTGATCGACCATCTCCATGAACTGGCCGATGACGAGGGGGACGGACTGGATCCGCTTGACCTCCTCCTGGGCGCGGAGGTGCTCGCGCTTGAGGTTCTTGAGCTCATCCTTGACGTACTCCTCCTGGATGTCGATGAACTCGAGCTGGCGCTGGAGGGACTTGAGGCGGCCGTAGAGGTCATCGTCTTCGTCGGCTACGGCAGGCGGGAGGAGGGCGTCGTGGCGCACGGCCGGGAAGCTCGGCGGGGCGTCGGAGGCGTAGGGCTTCGCGGGGATGGCGGACGCCGCCATGAGTTCGATCGAGTACGCAAGAGGGTTTCCTTCGATCCGAGCGAGACGAGACCCGAATCCTTTTAACGATGCTCGCACGTGCGACGCATGCGGGAAGAGTTAGAGTTCTGATGGATGGTTGTGATTACATCATCGGTGCATCTGCAAAGTATCACATTTTTGGGCAGCAAGACAAATAATCTTAAATAGCAAGGAGCAAATTGCAAAGTTGCAGAATTTGTGAGATGCAATAGTGAGTGGCATTCAAACTTTCACTTGTGAGATTCACTATCAATCCTATAAATAACCTTTTCATTACCTTTCATTTTCAAATCGTCTTTATTATAACACCACATTAGAATTGCTTTGTTCGTTAAATTATATTATTGTTCCATAAATAATCAATTCATGTCATGGTCATTTAGAAGTTTGGAAGGGGCATTTAAAAGATAGCAAAATAATATTTTCTATATAAACGCTTACTATTCACAGTTGCTTTTACTATTGATAATCCTTTGTTATTGATAATCTTTTAAAAATAATTAAAAATTTATTCTACTATTTACAATCTCTAAGGAAGAAAAAGAGGAGAAAGAAGATGAAGAAAAGGAAGAGGAAGAAAGAGAAGAAGAGGGTATGCATTTGCAAAGAGATGATTTTAAAATATTAAAAATAAGATTGTAAATAGTAAAATGAGAGTTGTAAATAATAATATCCTATGTATCATGCTACTCCTTAAATGGTTCAGTGATGATAATTAACTTCACATACGCGATAGGTTAATAACCTTTTGAATGATGACTAGAAAAGATAATTTAATTATTAATTTTCTGAGTTTACAGTAATTTTTTAATATTTTTCTTATATATTTTCTATATAGTTTATAATAAAGCAATTGTATCATTTTATGTATATTGTAAGTATGTAGGTATGTGTTTTACATACACACATTCTAATATTGGAAGTTAAATGAAGAAAAATCAAATTTAACTGAGTATAATGGCCCTCTCTAACTAGTCTTCACCTAAATTAGTTATATTAAAAAAAATAACCGAGATCCAAAACTTATATTGATATTTAAGGAAAAGTCTATGCTGTCATTATAGAGGTAGTACAAAAATCATGAGATATTAGATATAGCTCCTCCATCCAAAATGTTTTTTGGTTCCAGTATATAACTTTCCAACTCATCAAGTAGAGTTATTGATGATGTACTACTAAAAGTATTGTCAAAATTAACTTATTGAATAATTTTGTAAATAATGTATTGTTGAATTAAATTCTATTATCCTTGACAAAGTTTTATTGAATGAATGTTTAGTGATAGCATAGGTTTGACCTCATTTGATTTTGTAAACAATCAATTTTTACTAAGAGATACTCTCTTTGCAGGATAGTTGAGGGAGTGATCCTTAAATATCTATTTCTTATTGTATGAAATAATATAAGGATGAGTCTTGCAATATTGTTTTCTTACTAACTGGGAGATCAAAGTTCTGAGTTTCAAAAATGATCTCTCTCTATATGCAGAGCCTTCTAAATCTCATATTGGTGCACCAAATTTGCTCTTTATTATAGGAAATACCATTCACAATAAGTAGAGATCAGATATGCAATATATTAGTCTAACATATTATACCAAAACTCTCATTTATCACATAATCAAACATATGGTATCTTTATACAAAATTGATCAATAATAATCTTCCTAAAGTATTTTAAAGGATGGCGATTTTAAGGCTCTCAACTCCATCATATTTAAAATTCTAAAATTCTCTTCCTAAGCCATGTCAACCATAAGTTGTAGCTGACACTACATCACTAAAGTAATCTACTTATTGTTCTCTCTCTCTCTCT